GTTTTTAATCAGAGGCATGTTTGTTTTTCTCTTGCTCTCTCTGCAGACATATGGACTGCATCATCGGGATGAGAAGTCAATGGAAATGTGCACATTTGTGTGTCGGGTCCGGGAGAACACACCAGCCGAGCTAGGAGGACTGAGACAAGGTAACGAACAAGCCCTGCTCCACTTGTGGCTCTCCTCGCTGCTTATGTCTGAGCCAGCAATTTGAAGCTGTGCCGTACATATTTTCTTCTTGATGGAGGTAGTGCTTTTTGGAGACGTCCCCTGGCTGAGCTGGCTCCCGGATGCACTGCTGCATTAGCATTGCTGGAGCAAGGTAGTTGAAAAGCTGACCTACCCAGATGGGGCGCCTAGTGGCTAAATCAGGGCAGTTGCAGGCCACTATGTTTTAAAATGCACGAATCGAAGTCACTAAAATGTTCTTGGTCTCTGAAGGCCATTGCTGGGATTCAAGAAAACGGGTCACTGTGATAAACCAGCTTGGTCTCAGCGAGAGCACAGTGTCTGAGGTTAGGGCTCCACATGCTGTAAAGGCTTTAGGGAGGGTCTATAAGTACATGACTGGAACAGATGGAGACTGGAAACGATGGGCTCATTTGTCAAAGAGCAGTGAAGGTTACAGGGGGATCTGATAGACACCTTCAGAATTCTGAAGGGTTTTGATCATGTTGCCAAGTAATCCAAAGACCCAGATAATGTTCTGGGGACCTGGGTTCAAATCCTGCCATTGGAGATGGTAGAATTTGAATTCAATAAAAAACTGGAATGAAAGAGTCTGACGATGACCATGAAACCATTGTCAATTGTTGGGAAAAACCCATCTGGTTCACTAAATCCTTTAGGGAAGGAAACTGCCATCCTTACCCTGGTCGGGCCGACATGTGACTCCAGACCCACAGCAATGTGGTTGACTCTTAAATGCCCTCTGGGCAATTAGGGATTGGTAAAAAATGAAACAAACCAAGGAACCAAAAACCATCTCAGAAAGCGTGACCAACTGCTGGTTGTGGAGTTTGTTACTGAGGCTGGAAGACTACGGGTTCAAAGCCGACTCTACATACGCACACAATGACCATTCAGCAGCAAAATGTCGTAATACTGCCATGCAATGAC